GCCTCGCGGGCGCGGCGCGGAGCGTGGCGAAGTTTCTCGGCGTGTAAGCGGCGCCCGGGCAGGGGAAGGCTCGGTCTGCTCACCTCCGGCGCCGGTAGCACTGGCCGTCGGCCTGCGCGGGGTGGCCTGGAAGCCGCGCGCGCCCCGCTTCGTGTAACCCTTCGAAGGCTGGTTTCGGAGCCCGAGGCCCGAATCGGGCGGGACGGGGCCCCTTGCTGGGGGACGCCGCTTGGGGAAACTCGGACCTCGGCCGCCCAGGGCGCGGTGCACAGAGCGGGCGGCGGAATCCAGCCCGAGGAAGCCCGTCGGGGGCGCGCCACACCGGAACTCCGCGACGCACGGGAGCTGAGGGCTGGGTCTTTGCGGGCAAGATGAGGGTGTTGGTTCAACTGGCCTACAAAGTCCCAGTCCTCGGCCCCCAGGACCGGCGTCCCTCCACGCTTCTTGCCCCAGGGTGGCTTCCTTCTGCGTGCGCTAGGTGCCCACTCTGGGCTCACCGCCGGCCTCGCCGCCACCTCCCCGCCACCTCCCAGGTTCGCGCTGGAGAAGGGCGGGCGAGGCGCGCTCTCCGCCCGCGCTGTGCAGGGTCCCGGGTACCCCGCGTTTCTCAGGAGAAAAGGCAACGCGCTCAGAAATGTGAGTCGGTTACAGCGTGCGATCCCTTCCAGGAAGACCTTGGGTAAGGGGAGAGATGGCTCCCCTTGTCCCACACTGGCTGAGCCCAGCCGCCCACCACAATTGGCTGTACCGCGCTTTGCAGGGCAGCAGTCTAAGGGGTGGGAAGGACCCGGCCTGACTTCCAAGAGTTGCTCGTGGGAAGGTGGGAGGGCGTGTGGAATTTCAGCACCCGTAGAGGGGGAAAACCGTGTCCTCACCCATCTCCTTTTCTTTAAAAGTGCATCTCTGGATGTGCCCCGGTGGCTGGTCTTTTCTTCTACGACAGATACACCAGGCTGACCCACTCACAGCCCTTTTCCAAGTTTTTTTTTTTTTTTTCCTAAAATTCCCTTAAACTCTGTATCCATTCTCTTGGTCCTTTTCTTCCACTCTCCCCTGCTGAAGGAAAACCCCCTACCAGTCCTAGGAATGACTGTGTATCCATTCTTCTGATCATTTTCTTCTACTGTCTCCCTTGCTAAAAGAAAACCCCCTACCAGTCTCAGAAACGTGGGGTTGACCTGGTGTTGCAACGCTATTTTTTGTTTGTTTGTTTGCGTTGCATTTTGCTGCCTTGGCAGTGGGGGCCTTGAGAAAACATTTGGGAACATGCAGTGAGGTGAATTGAACTGTGTGAAGGGCAAGCTGACAAAACAGAGCACCTCTGGCCTCCTCCTTCCTGGCTTTGGAAATCAGGAGAGGTTTCTAGAAGCAGAGAGGAGTGAGGGAGAAACCAGCCTGGCCAGGTTGGCCCACTCTTCGCCAAGTTGTGCAAAGGCCCCTTCAAGAGGCGTTTTTCCACCGCGCTCTCACCTCTGTGGACCTTGTGTAGAGTAGTCCTTGCAAGAGACCTGTTGCTGCCTTGCTTTGGTGACCTGTCCAGGCTGGGACAGAGGGAGCCGGGGGAGCTGTGGTGTTGGAACTGGGAGTTCCAGAAAGGGCAGAGCCTTATCCTCCATTTGGCCCAAATTTTGTCCGTTTAAGCTTTGCAGGTTCTAGTCAGTAGAAGGTGCAGACACCAGAATTACAGGAGAAAGAGTTTCTTTGGCTATGGGGTTGTTTTTAAATGATAGTGCATATATGTACAGGAGAGAGAAAGAGGCACCCTTGACAGGATCTTGTCATGCCACAATCCCCTCTCCCCAGTCCTCCAGCTCTTCAGGATCCTGGGTGCCCACATGCGCACCCAGCGTGTTTTCAGGTTGACCTGGGTGTTCGAACCCATGGCTGGCCACGTGGCTTCCAGCCTTGTGGAGCACTCATGTTACTGCTGTGCCACAGCTGCTGTGCCAGCTTCCCAAACATCTTGACAGATTCTCAGTCTTGTTGCAGAATCATTTAGGAGTGCAACTGGCAGGTGGTTGGGCTGGAGGCCTTGCCCCTAACCAGGAAGAATGCTGTCTTTGAAGCACTGGATCAGGTGGGGAAAATCTAGTTTTCTCCCTTTAAACCTTTGCCTCTCCCAGCCTTGGGGGTCAGTATGTAAAAGTTAATGAAGTGGAAATCTTCAGAATATTGCACAATCATAAAATATCCACAGAAATGGGTTGGAGCAATGAGAAGCAGAAAAGCTGGCTGGACCCACTCTGTATAGGGCAGGCTTGGGGACCATCAGTCATAAATGGTGGGGCATGAGGCACATGGAGCCTGTGGTGTCCTGGCTTGGTCCAGGTGGCTGGCAGTTTTCTCTCAGGCTGTGCTCCATTCTCTCTGGGGCTGGCCTGAGCTTGAGGGATTTTTAGGAAATGACTTGTTGCTTCATTTCTTCGGGGGAAGTGAGTGATTAGGTTTTTCCTTCTTGGGTTTTTTCCTTTGCAAAATGTGATTTTGCACTCAGTGGGCTGGGCTAGCCTAGCCTCCGGCAGCTGATTTATGCTATTGTGTTTAGGAATTGTATTTTAGTTCAGAGCTTTTTGATTTTGCTGTCCCTTTTGAATTCTTAGTTTTCTGGAATAGATGCCTCCTTCCTGCCCACTCCCCCTGCCTCCAGTCCATCCTTCAAAGAGGAGTACCTCAGGGATTCAAGGGAAAGTGACTTGAATAGCAGACTTGTTTGCCCTGGTGTCTTCTCCAGGAAGCATCTAAATGCAAGGCAGAAGGCTGGAGGGCCCAGCAGACAGTAGGGGTTAAGGCACTGGACTCCCATGTAATAGACAGCTCTTCGAGTCCCAGACCCGGTGACTTGAAACACAGTGGGCACATGTGTGTGTGCATGACCAAAATCCCAAGAGGAGAATAGAGAAGGGATTGTGGCCTGGCCATCCCCCTAAGGGGTGATTTCTCACTTTTTCTCTCTCTCTTTCTGTATCTCCAGTGAGCACACAAGCCCTGTAGCAAAAATCTCTAAAATAAAAAAAAATTTTTTAAAATTGAAAAAACACACCTATTAGAGGGGAGGATTTTAGCTAGACCCCCAGGGAGAGCCATGAAGGTTCCTGAAATCCAGCTGGACTCCAGGGTTCATCCACTGGGAGGAAACTTGCATTCCCTCAACTCTTAAGTAAATTGAAACCTGGTGAATAATTAACCTCTCCCTTCTAGCCTATTTTTTTCCTCTAAGAAACATTAAATCCCAACCTGTCAAAGATCAGTTTTTGTCCAGCAGGATCGGAATGACAAAGGGAGTTCTGGGAGAAGCTGGGCCTTTTATCACCACTTCAAGTCCTAGCAACTCTGAAGGTCTGACTCCTAGAAACCCCTCCAGGGTTTCAACTTCTGCTGCCTTCCGAGCTGCTTCCCAGGTCTCCTTCCGTGTCTCCTCACCCAAAATTGAGCTGTCTTGAGCCCTCCCTGACATTGAGGATCCTGTTCCCTACTTTGGCGACAGCTTGGCCCTGGCTACTGAGCAGGCTGCTGCTGGCTAGTTTGTGGCTCTCTGCACGGGCTGGTAAATATTTGGCCAGTCTTGGCTCTTTTACACAAAAGAGCAGAGCTTCTAATCTGTGGTAAGTCCCTGAAAGAGGGTTGTCTCAGAAGGAAGGGATCATTTAGGTTTTCAGGAAGGGGTTTTTCTCTCAAAGCAGCCCAGCCTGAGGGCCAGGAAGGTGTTTAGGTTCTAGTCGCAGCTGCCACTTGCCAGTCCGGTGCCTTTTGCCAAGCGACTTCTCTGTGTCTGACTTCTTCACGAGATGAGGTGTGTGTGAGGCTTGTGGAAAATGTATGTGCAGTGCCTGGCACGGACCAGTAGACTCCAGCAGCAGCCTTCATCCCGTGCTCTCTTATTTTGAATCTGCGTGCTTATGTGTTGGTTCAGAAGAGTACAGTGACCGAGACCTCGGGCTTGTGGGTCTGCCTAGTTCCAAGGCAAACTGCTTGCTAGCACATGGCCTTGGGTAAGTTACTTAACCCACTGGAAGTAGCAGCTTTGTAAGCATAAGGTGGGGGTGGTATCTGGGAGTGTCTCTGTCTGAGTCTCAGTCCTCTGTTTTTATTGGCCACTGCCTCTGTGCCAGGCACTGGGCACGCAAGGGCTGGGGGTAACATCTGTGGGTAAGACGAGCTTGGATCTTTGTTGCCTACTCTGGTTTTTGCCCTAGCTCTGAGAGCAGAGGAGAGGGGTGTTTCGGGTCTCCCTTTTAAGAGCAGAGGAGAGGGGTGTTTCGGGTCTCCCTTTTAAGAGCAGAGGAGAGGGGTGTTTCGGGTCTCCCTTTTATAGCTGGGGTTGGGACTCTGGGAGAAGGACTCTCCCAAAATCTCACAGTGGACCTTTGGTGCACCTGGAGTGGGCCCCCAGCCTTCTGGGTGCAGCCTTCTAGGTCAGGAGCCAGCCAGCCTGAAGAGGAGGTGGATGAGTCTGGGTTAGCCAGCACAGAGTCCTTAAAGGAACCCTGGCTTGCAGATGTGGCTGCCTCGCACATCTGCTCTGCAGTGCATCCACCCTGAAAGGGCCAATGACTCCTCCGGTCCTGACACTGAGCACATTTCTTGTGAGGTCCCAGGAGAGGTATTCGAATTGCCACAGCTACTTCAGGCTTGCTCACTTACTGACCCAGTGGGCAAGCCAGACCTACTCTGGGAGGACCCGTCAAGCTGGGGACAGAATTGAAAGGGGTGAGAGGGAGGGGGATAGAGATAATTTATTCTTCCAAAAAATGCTGTACAGCAGTCGTCATGGGAGAATAAATACAGGTCATGGGACTTACAGCTCATTTCTGGCTCAGTGATGGCTTTCCGTAAAATTTCAGATTGGAAGGGGAGATGGACCTTAGTCTTTTCAGTCCCTTGTGGCCTTCGTAACCCTTCCTGCCCTGAGCAGGAGACACCGCTCACGGAGCTGGTGCAGAGCAGGTGACTTCTTCCCCACTGCATGCTCCTGCTCTCCTCCCTTCGGCAGGTCTGGGAATTTAGCAATGGCCCTGGAGCCAGACCCCTGGTGTTTGCCGCCCACGAGAGCTGAGGACAGAGGTGCCAAGTGGAAAGAACCATGGCCTGATTTGAATCTCAGCTCTGGGCCTGAGAGCCCCCTGCAGTGCCAAGTGGGCAATGGGACTGGCTCAGCAGGGCACCCTGGTGGCCTTAGTGCCCTTCTAAGTTCCAGCTGGGGGATGGAGAGGATGGCACAGGGCTGGAACCTGGGCTGTGGCTTGGAGGGACGGAAGGGTCGGGAAGGATTCGGAGATGTGCAGCTGGGTTAGTTGGATCCATCTGAAGATTTTATGGCTCATTCTTGTGGAACTCGCTTCCTCCTGCTGGATTTCTGCCTTGGGGGACGTGGGGTTCAAGGGAAGATACTGGCTTCTCCCTCTTGGTGACTGAGGCCTACATTCTGGTCTTCAACACAGACATGGAAGCGATGTTCCTGTCTTCTCTTCACATCTGTTACGGGGTAGTCCTCCTCCGTGACCTTCTGTGAATAATTAAATTGAGTTGCCGCTTATTGCCGACAGCAGCTGGCTTTGTAGGAGACCAGTTGAAGAGAGAAATGCTTTCCGCTTAAGACCGGCATCAGGGGAAGGGTGTTGTGTTGGCTTAGGAGTCATACCTGGTCCTCTTGTAGACCAGCTGGCCAGCATTGCCTTCCTAAGACTCCGTGTCCCTGTGTCTGATAATGTATGTCCACGTCGCAGGGCGTTGTGAGGACTGAACAAGAATGCCTGTGTGGGGGCCTGATGGTGGTGCAAGGTTAAAGGTGACACTCTCTGCGAGGTAGTCCCACATGGGAAGGTTTCCACGTCAAGTCTGGAGACCCTCCTGACTGCGCCAGGTACACGTGTGCCCATAATCCAGACCGGCGGAGGCTGGGGTTGGATAGCAGTGTCAAGACCCTATGAGGTTCTTGTGTGAAATGCCAGGCACATGGCAAGGGTGGTACGTGGCATCTGTTCCCAGGGACAGCATAGTTCATCCCAGAGCCTGTGGGGCTGATGAACACATCCTGGTGAGGTCAAGGAAGGGTGACCTGAGGCTGGCAGGCTGCTTGCTGGCTTCGTATCCGGGGAGAAAACACTAGAAGGAAAGCCAGTGTGGGCTGGGGTAGTGTGAGCGGGGTGGTTCCTGCTGCTTCAGGGAGACATCCCTGGTATAACGGGGAGACAGGGTGTGAAGCTGGAGCGCGGTGGCTGCTGATTTTCCCAGGAGTAGCATCATTCAGGCACTGTGCTTGAGCCTATGTGAGGAGCGGGTTAATTGGGGCAGGGAGGTCAGGGTGCTATTCTCTTGTTTTAGGTTGCAGAATGTGGGAGTGGAGCCGGGCAACACATCTTTTTAAAAATCATTATCTATTTAATTTTACTTATTATTATTTTAATTTGCTATAGGGCACATAGGCTCACCAGAGAGAAACAGAGAGAGAAAGTGAGAAAGCAAGGCGCCAGGTCTGGGACTCAAACTATGGTTGGTCATGCGAAGAGTTCAGCACCCTAACCACCATGCCACCTGCTGGCCCCCCAAGGGAACACGTTTTAAAAAGAAAGCTGGGTCTTTGGTTTTGGATCTTTGCAGGCTGTTGAACATACTTTGAACTAGGACTTGAGTATAAGCAAAGTGTTAGTCTGCAGCTTGCCTGGCCAGATCATGGTATATCTTGGAAAAGTTAGCCAGACCACTTAATCCCAGCTTGTGTATTTTGTTGTGGAGAGTGAACCTTCCCCACGCCCCCACCCCCCAACTTCTATATCTCATGATAGCAAGTGCTCATCTTAGCTCAGACCTGGGTGCACGCTAGCTACCTTAGCCGAATTACTGAATGGCCCACATTTTGGGCCAGCATATGGTACAGAGATTAAGGTGGCTGGTTTCCACATGGCCGGCCGCACAGTTCGACTCTTGGACCCAGCCGCTTGGAAAACATGCTGGGCGCATGTGCATGCATGCCCCAAATCCCATGAGGATAATGGAAGAAAAGGAATTGCAGCATTGGCATTTCTCAAGGAGGTGATTTCTCATTCTCTCTCTCTCTCCCTCTCGGGAGAGAGATGTACGTGCCCTCTAGCAAACTAAAAATACACGTAAACACACATGCATACATGTACCACATTTTGACAGTAGCCCTTTCTGATGGTGATAGGGTTGGGAGGCAGTACCAGGAGGCTGGGAAGTCACTTCACTTTGATGTTGGGAAAGGGCAGAGCCCAGGACCCTGACTTTGAATGGGTAGGGGCCAGGACGGAGCAGGGGGCAGCCTCTTCACATGGAAGGAAGCCTGAGAGCCAGCGCCCCCTCCAGTCCTTTCCAGAGCTTGCATGGGGGAGGGGCTGCTGTCGCCCTTTGGTAGACTTTGTTGTAATTAGACAAGTTATGACAAATATCCCATTGCTCTTTGGGCTGGAGAACTGTGAGGCGTCCTGCCTGGAAACCCAGCCTCATTCACTTGGGAGCCATAATTAGGCAAGAGAACAGTTCACGGGCCTTTGATTCAATAAAGACCCTTTTATGATGTTGGTTTTTCCCAGAAAAATAATACCACTTTGCTCCGTTTATTGCATTTAGATGTGTAATCATATTAGAGCTCAGCAGCCCAGGGGACCGAAGTTACGCAGTTGGGTTTTCACCAGAGCCTGTTACCTGGTCTCTAGAGAAGAACAGTGTCTTCAGAAGGGGGGGGGAAGACCAGGAACATTTTTGAGGATTTTCTCTCTTGGCATTTACAGGACATTTTTCTCTGTTCAGGGTGAGAAGTGATCCAAGGAAAATCCAGAAAGTGAGGCCAGTGCAACTGGCTAGTGGCTGTGCCCACCCTGGTGCTCTGTGCCGTCCTGTGTCTGTCCAGGCGGTGTGTGTCCAGCAGGGTCCCTCTCCCCAGGCGTACGATGTTTGTCAGATGGGTAGACTGCCTCCTGCTGAGGGTTGGGAAAAGTGCCAGAGAGGATGCCTATGTCCTTCTCATGAGGAGCCGTACCCTAGCTGGTCTCCCCGAGGTGGCAGGGCTGCAGGCGCTGGTGTTTACAGGTGGCACTTCTCTGCCTCCTCCTCCTCCCCTCCCTGTGAGGGCCAGTCAGCTCGGACTAAATATAGTCCTGGAGCTCACGGCAGCTTTTGGTTCCTCGGCAGTGTGTGCCAGGTCCCACCGACTTTGGCCGTTCCTTCCACACATTTGGTATTAAGAGGGTTGGCCTGCCTAGGGTGCTCGCACATGCAGACCCCTTCCCCACGCTGCTGTTCCCTCTTGTCGTTTTTAACATTTATTGTTCTGTGAAAGAGAGAGACAGGTAGGTAACCCCCCCTAGGGTCTTCACACTGATCCACACTCAATCTCAGCCTTCCTGGATCGTGGGCACCCACATGCAGCCCAGCACGCTCAGGGAGGTGCCAGGATACATACCCAGGACCTTTCCCATGTGAGACCAGTTGCATTACTGCTGCATCACTGCTGAGCACCCTTACTTTCTTCCCTCGAGACCAAGTTGTCAAGCAAGCGGAAAGCATTTCCCCATCACAGAATAAAATCCCTCCTAGAATTCTGTAGAGATCACCAGATTGAAATGGAAAATCTCTTTCCCAACGTGGG